TCACTGCCCCTTGCTTCATCCTGTCGAAGCATTGTATTGCAGCAGCTCTGTGTTGTACTTCTGGGGAGCATTGGGCCCCTGTTTGACAAAGGAACAAACGAAAGGCGTATGAACTGAGCAATCAGTCACCGGCTCCCAATGGGTGCGAATAACTGAATTCTCTCCGCTGCCATGCGGGCAGGCTATTAAGCCAAAGCCTCGGGGTGATGTCCCTTAAGTCAACACCCTACTTCGACTTGGACAACCGGGTAGTATCTCGCTCTCTGACGAAACCGTGGACTAATGTGTTGTGTTGTTTTCTTTTGCAATTTCTGTACCTTCTTTTGTGTTCCATGGTTTCTGATGGCTCTATGTCTATTCATAGACTGTTGCAAAATAATAATAATAAATGTTGTGTTGAACGACACAGTTGTCCATCTGACTGTTGATATCAGAAGACCGTATGTCGGAACTGCTGGAAGGTGGGCCACCTGGTGCGAGTATGCCGATCGGTCAAAGGGCGTTCAGGTGGGGCTTGCCAGCGACCAAAACCCATCAAAAGTTTGGGCGAGTCGGATGTTAGCGAGCCTGAGTTGCATTCGATATGGTTGAATACCGTTCCTACTAGCGGCCAGCGCCATACACCCTGGAGCTTTACGTTGAAGGTCAGAAAGTACAGATGGAGATCGACGCAGGAGCATCTGTGACAATACTTGGGGAAATGCTGTAAAAACACTGCCACCCTTATCCTTTTGCAGTTCAGTTCTTTGTACGTACACCGGCGAACCCATACGTGTTCGTAGCAAATGCTTCGTAAAAGCACAATACGGTTACAGGATACAAAAGCTTCCAGTATATGTGGTCGCTTGGAATCGCCCAATTTTGCTACGAAAAGTCTGGATACATGCATTTTCGGATACATTGGATGTGGTAAAAACAGTCACTGGGGTTTCGGGACTTGAACCCTTGCTAAAACAACATTCCCCTATTTTTGCCGAGGACCTTGGGAAATTGGAAGCATTTCAAGCTACGGTACGAATAAAGGATGGCGATGAGCCGAAATTCATCAAGACGTGGACAGTAGCATACTCTATGAGGATTAAACTCGAAGAAGAATTAACTCGCTTACAAACCCAGGGTATCATTAGTCCTGTAAAATTTTCGGACTGGGGAACCCCAATTTTGCCTATGATCAAACCCGACGGCTCTCTACGGATTTGTGGTGATCATAAAGTTGTTAATCAATCCTCCATGCTAGTGAGGTACCCATTACCCCACATTGATGATTTGTACGCAACACTGGTAGGAGTTGAGAAATTTACCAAATTTGATCTCAGTCATGCGTACTTGTAGCTAGAGCTTGACGAATCGTCGAGAACACTTACCTCGATTACCACACATATGAGACTATTTTAATATACTCGCTTGCATTTGGCATAAGTTCTGCTCCGGGAATCTTCCAAAGGACTATTGATGACCTAGTAAAGGACATACCTTTTGCCCGTGTTTATCTGGATGATATTCTTATCTCCGGTCGCTCGGACACAGAACATCGTACCCTCGCTGTCGTACTCAGGCGTTTGGAACGTAACGGGTTTAGACTGACAAAGTCCAAATGTGTTCCCTTCTTCCGTTTGTTATCCTGGATATCGGCTTGATAAACACGGGTTACATGTTCTGAATCACAAAGTTAAACCAATTTTACAAAGTCCCGAGCCGAAGAACATTGATGAACTTCGTTCGTTCTTAGGCATGCTGTCCCTTTATCGCCGGTTCTTGCATAATGCATCTACGGTATTGTCTCCACTAAATGAACTGTTGCACAAAATGTACCCTGGCGTTGGGGTTTTAGTCAGCGCTATGCTTTCAAAAGGGCTAAGCAGGCTCTTACTTCACCACCAACGTTAGTACATGATGATTCCTATAAGTCACGCATCCTTCAATGTGACGCGTCTCCTTGCGGAGTCGGGGCTGTCCTGTGCCACCGCATAAACGACGGTTCTTTATGTCCCATAGCATTTGCATCACGCACCCTACAAACTGCAGTGTAACACTACTCACAGCTTGATGAGAAAGCCTTGGCCGTACTCCTCGGGATAAAAGTTTCACCAGTACCCATGGGGAATTTCTTCGAGCTGCACATGGATTACAAACCCTTACTATCGTTACTGTGAGAAACCAAGGGCATTCAACAGATGACATCCCCCAGAACACAGCTATGGGCTGTAACCTTGAATGCTTACGGTTACAAGGTTGTTTATATTACGGGTGTCAATAACCACACAACCGATGCGCTGAACCGCCTGTCAATAGCTGAAACTACACAGCAACATGACTTTTTGTTTGAAGTGGTTAAATTGATGCAATACCTAGACACAGTGCCGATACGAAGTGCAACAATCCGTCAGTTGACGGACCGAGATCCAGTATTGTCAATGGTGAAAGGTTTTTGACCGTACGTTGGCCGTCTGATTTACATCCGTTCCTAATCTGCAAAAACGAACTGAACCTATTTGATGCATGTTTTTTGGGCTCTCGGCTGGCCCCTCCTGTGAAGGCGCATTCACAGATCCTCAATGAACTACATGATGCTCATCCAGGTGTGTCAAGAGTAGAAGCGTTAGCAAGAAAGTGCTGTTGGTGGCCAGAGATCGATTCAGACATAGAAAAGTTATTGAGAAATTACAACATTTGTCAGGCTCATCAACTTAGCAAGCCACCTGGTCCAGTGCAACCTTGGCGTTGGCCGGACAAGCCGTGGTAGCGGATTCACACTGATTACTTCGGTCCGATCAAGGGGACAATGTTCATTTTGCTTATTGGATCGATGTACACCAATTGCTGCAGCGACATTGGAAGGCACCATTAACAAAATACGCTCTTCATTTGCTACGTTTGGCATTTCGGAATCTATGCACAGACAACGGTTCACTCTTTGTTAGCACTGAATTCATCATCATCATCATCATAATTATACACGTTAGCTAGAGGTGGGAAACACCTCAGCTACTGTGCCCCAATTCATAAAGGAAAAGGAAAATAAATACAACAGTTGCATGCCAGCCGAGCTATCAGCAACGGAACAGCATCGTTCCGGTAAGCTGCCAGCCGACTACTAGGCAAAAAGAAAGATTATTATGTAAAATTATATTACGCTGCGTAATGAGATCGTGGTTGGAAGGGAGGCTAAAAGGGATGGGGAGGGACAAAGAAACTCACAGCAGGAACACCAGTGAGGTCGGCTCATTGCTATGTCAGCAAGTGTATCCAGCCAATCGTGTTCATCGTCTTTTGGACCCCAACCAGGGAGCCGTGACGCTCCGATCGAGGCCAGCTCCGAAGTGAAGGCCTTCATTCCTCTCGACTAAGTCATCGCTTGGCCACCCCTCCTCTTCTTCCATCCTCATCCTCGGTGAGCAAACAACGCACGTCGTGGAAATCGGTGCGCTGGCATGCGTAACACGTGGCCCAGCCATCGGAGCCTAGTGCGTGAGAAGACGTTGCTGAGCGGTTCAGTTCCTTTTTCTGTGCCGTAAACAAGGCGTCGAACACGTTCGTTACTCACGCGGTGTTCCCACCAGATGTGAGCCAAATTGCGAAGGCACCGATGATCGAACATAACTAGCCTCTTTATGTCCGCCGCTCTTAGGGCCAGGTTACGCGACCGTACAGTAAGGTCGAGCGTACGCTGCATTGTACACTTTACTCTTCAGGGCAAGAGTGATGTCGCGCCGCCGCCATAAGTGGCGAAAGTTAGCAAAAGCACTTCGAGCTTTTGAACTCAATAAATTTGTCACCAATAACGGAATTCAACTCATTAGATCAGCCCTGTATCACTCAGCATCAAACGGGCTAGTAGAACGTGCCGTGCAAACTGTAAAACAAGGCTTGCAAAAGCAGAGAACGGGAACCTTACAGACTAAACTGGATCGCTTTCTGCCAACCTACCCTTCGACGCCTACTGGTAAATTCCCAACGGAATTAATGTTCGGCAGAAATCTTAGGAAGAGGCTTCACTTGGTACTTCCCAACCGGCCCGTAGGAGTAGAGGAGCGACAGAAGAAATCTGTGTCCCATAACGAGTCAAAGACAGAGGTCACGTTCAAGGAACATCAACTAGTTTACGCCTGGTTACCGTATGAAAAATCTTGGCAGCCTGTAACCGTAATCGACGCGGCAGGGACGCAATGGGACTTACAGCTTCCGGACGGGCGAGTCGTGTGCCGACACACGGATCACGTACGCACGCGAGGCACTGATTCACCAGTCAAAGCGCAGCCTGACTCGTACTCTACTACAGAACCACTCGATGCAGGACGAATGTATAGCTCACTTTGGCGGTCGAGCTGTGTACGCAAATCTATAGAACGTTTCCCAGCTGGAGTGTAACGCTAACCACAACGGTGGCTAACCACACACTCTTACTCTGATTGGTCCTTTACACACATGCACGCACGCAGGCATACAGCAACACCTATCTTCACTCCCTATCACTTGTACCACGGCAGTTTTTGAGTAGACTGTTCCTGCCCTCGCACCGTCTTCACTCTAGCTAAGGGCTGATATGTGCATTACTATGAGCGAGGCGGGACAGGATGGTCATTCGATCACTTGGCAATGGTATGAAGTCAATTTGCCTGGTCGGACTGGTACCATAGGATCGTCCACACTCATGCATAGCAGGCCCTTCCACTATGGTGCATATGACATTTTACTGAGGCTCTTGCAATCGGTTCTTGAACTCCGTCTGTTAACTGAACACCCTTCCTTGTTCTTTCTAACTTGCTTGATTCTTCCAGTGATCACGGCAACCATCACACTTTTACGCTGGAATCACGGTTGTTTACTTAAGCTGAGACGCTGTTGAACGAATCCAAATCGCCTGGTAAGATCTACTTCACGAGCAAATGCCACTTGTGGCACTCTAGGTGGTGCTCTGTGCTTATGCTATTCGTAACACTCGCATTCTGCTGCGTGATTGTTTGCTGTGGTAATTCTCGTACAACTTCTCTTTCAGCCCCATGTCTGACTCCAGTTCAGCCCCGAAGAAAGCTGGTTACTGGTATTTCGGCGGTGTGGCAAGTGCAATGGCTGCTGCATGCACCCATCCTCTGGACCTTATCAAGGTTCACTTGCAGACCCAACAAAAGAAGGAGGTCGGTATGATCGGCATGGGCGTTCGTGTGTTTAAGCGCGATGGTTTCTTCGCGTTGTATAACGGTATTAGCGCGTCAATTTTGCGCCAGCTCACATACTCCATGACTCGCTTCGGTATGTACGAAGGCTACAAGGGACAAAAGGGCTCCCCAATGTCGTTTACTGAAAGTGGCCTTGTGGCCTGCATTTCTGGATTTTGTGGCGGCATTGTTGGAAACCCCGCTGATATGATCAACGTCAGGTACGTGCCTTGATCTCTCAGTGTTTGACCTGCTTACCAAACCGCTAACATAATGTTGTCAAGTAGGTACAATTCGCTTTTATTAATAGCTCTAGTTTATCGTTCTTACAGTACTTCCTATTTAATTTTAAATTCGTCCAACATGAAGTTGCCATTGGCCGGTGGCCGAAAGGATTGCGCGCCTGGCTTGCAATCCCTAGGTTACTGTTTTGAATCCGCGTAGGGGAGGGCGTCCTCGCACGATCTGTGGTGGTCGCGTAACAGCGAAGCGTCGGTACAGTGTGCCGGCGTACTACTGATGACTTTCTTTCTTGTCACGTGAGCTATACCCTCTCATTGCTGTCTCAGTTCTCACCGTTTTCCCCTCCAATTCGCCTAGGCTCCAGTTTTGATATCTCCGACTATCGAAACCAATTGCAGGTAACCCACTGTTATTATTCAAGTGCAAATACTGTCTTTGGAAGCAAATAACGCTTTCTGTATTATCAGTAGCAGGTACTTAAATTGCTTTTGGATTGTTGTTGCATGTCTACGCAGTAGTACAGTTACGCCCAAGTCCGAAAAACGTACTGTCCATTGGTGGCACCATATAGGAATAGCTTAACAGACGTTTTAGTAATGTTTTTCGTAGACTTCTGATGAGCTGTGAACTTCGTATGTCAACAATTCTGTTTCCTTGTTAAGGCATCACTCGAGGACGACGGGAGTACCCATTGTGTCCCGTATCCCCGTCGGTTATACGGCTTCTCCCTCTTGTTCGAACATGTCATCTTCACGGGACACCCTGTGTTGAATCATTACTGGGTATCAGGTTCAGCTATACTGAAATCCTATGGTTTGTGTGCATGCTATCTTTTACCTGCCGACTACCTTTTGTCGAATCGACCAAATAGATATAAACAAATCATCATCTGGTGCTTGAGGTGCTATTACTGCCACGCGGACGTTTACAATCACACCTTCCGACTCTGGTTCCATTTTCCTAACGAGCCAAACAGCTTTTATCTTGCTTCTAGAGAGGATGGAGCTGACATCGTGCACATGGCAGTCCGTCCAACGGCATATACATATGAACCGGTTAGCACAAGTTTGTAGAGGTGCGCTCAGTTTTCCTTGCCTTGTGTTTGACCTATTCTCACTCCTGTACGGCCGCTTGCTGGAAGCGGAGCAGTCAGCTCATCCAGAAGTTGACCACTCAAAGGATTGAACCAATGGTCAACATATGGAATTCCTGCATATAAACTCACTTTACTTTGCTTTCCCGTTGTCAGTAGTACAGCATATAATTTATTTTTTAAATCTACATCCTGTTTTGAATACATTATGTGAACTCTTACATCACAGCCAGGACAGTTAACTCACACAGCGCTATAATAAATCAAACTTCACTCTGTTCTCCTCGAAGTTAACTCATGAAAAACAGGCTTGCTTCTTCTATTAGCAACGTTACTGAAGAAAGCCCTCTCAACACAAGCCACTCTACTCAGCATGATTTGGCATTTTTTTCATACCCAAGGCGTTCCGTTACATTAAAAGATGCCTGGCGTCATCTTCTTTTAAACTTTCCTTGGCTTCCATGTCAGCTACACTTAGTCTTCTGCAAATGTTACTTGTTTGTTTTCGTAACGCTATATTGCATTCAGTATTTCCTGGAAAATAGCATCTGGGTCTGATCGTCGGGTTTTGGAGTACCCGCCATGTGTCTTAGATTAAGACACAAAGTATTACTTGTTGTCTCGGTTGACTCCGAACTTTGCCATGCGGATCACTGGGGCTATCTCCGAAGTGGAGAGTTCCAATGTTTCCCACCCACTGCACTTGCAGTGGGTGGGAGAGCAACGCTGAAACATCTGGGTCTGTTTCAGTGCAAGATGCCAAGTCATTGTCCGTTTCAACCAACTTTTGAAGTTTTATTCCCTTTAATTCTGCCAACGGAGCTGGAATGTCTGGCAAGAATTTTAAAAACACGACTAGCTGGTCTACTAATGACCAATGGCTTTAGTTTCACTTCACGAGATAGCCTACAACAGAACTGTAAAACTTTCTTTGTAATGTTTCTTTCGCTCACATTTCTCACTCTTTCTAACTAGGCTCCTGCCAAACATCGTCTTGAATAAAAATTCACCCGTCAACATTAAAAATTTCATTGCTGGTGCCCTCGCTGATATCGGAAAATGTTTCGATGTATTCTTTATTAAATGCTTCATAGACTTCATTAGATTCACCAAGCAGGACTCTTTAGGTAACCTCATGTCCCAGTTTAAATTACTGTAGCCAACCATTGGAGGTTTGGAAATGTGGTACTCCCAATTCCCGCGAGATTTTAAAAAGCATATTCTCCTATCATCGACCTAGCGATTCGATCATTAAGTGCCCCCATCACAGTGTAGCTTTCTTGACTTCATCGTGCAAAGTTTTCCGTTGTGGACCTCCTCATTTCTCATCATCTCTCTATGTACTCATGTTTATACTTTCGCATGTTGCCAACTGTTGTATTGCTAACACTATCTTTCTTTTGCTGCTGCTGCTGCTTTCCAGGAAATGTTGCAGAATAATTTTCTCCTTCCATTTCGGCTCTTTGAGGTCTATTCTTTAGGTCATGCTGTTTCGATTGAAAGTAAACTTTTCTATTTGATGGTGCGTTCAGCTAGGATTTATGTTGTTGGGCGCCACCTCTGAGCAGTAAAAGCTTTACATTGCTGTTTACGAAAGTACATTGTATGTGCATGTCACACATTCCCTGTGTTCTTCAGATCACAAAATAACATTGCTACCGCTGCTCCAAAGCATCACTAGTTGAACCAACCAGTCGTTCGGTGATAATTGCACAATAAACCTTAATTAATAATGATTACAAAGGTGATCACTATACAACGGTCTGGTTCCACAAGATTTACATGGGGAACGTTTGAGCTATGAAAAAACGGTCAGACTACAGAGATCAAGTTATAGAGGTGTTCACCTTTAGTGGTTGTACTGTGTAATCCCGAACTGTACTGGCGGTTTCATTTAACCGTCTTCAGTGTTACCGGTGTTTAATTCCTCCGTGACATCCGCATTCAAATGAAAGCTACAGTTTGCATCACTGGGGCATCAAGTGACTCGCGACCTTAAGCACCTAGACATCGAATTCTCGTATGTGTTAGTGCTCCCTCTGCCGATGTTTTTTTCACTTCCTGGACAGCAATCTGGGGTTTTGGGCCGCTTAGGAGTACACCATGGTAGTATATGCATTATTTTGTTCAACATTTGACCAATGTACAATTGGCAGTGCCACAACACATAGTTAACAACAACAAAAAGTGGGGAAAACGGGTAGTCAATGAAAGGATTTGGATAGTTTAGAAGGTTAATGTGTTGTGTGGGCAGAGCTCTTCCCTGTTGCCCAAGCCGAGGAAGAGGGTTGACTTAAGGGACCCCACCCCGATCCTTCTGGTATAGCGATGCTCAGTTCCAAGTTTTGTGGACACATTCTCACTACTTGAGTGAAGTGACGCAGCGTGTGTATCATGTGGTTTCAAGCTCTGGGCGGTGTCGTATCTAGTCTTTATGGACCACTTTCTATCACTTGGCTTGTCTGCATGTGTAATGCCGCATGCGCTACATCGTATGAAGGTTGGAATTGACTTTTAAAATAACGAGGATGCTCTGCAGATTTTTTCCCCACAGGCTACGCCCAATACTTAACTTTAATACGTACCTGACGTTACCGTATATATAAAAGGGCTGCTGAACGCTGAAGGAGTCGAAGGACTGATCATCTGGAGATTCCAGTTTATCCGGCAAGCCGTTGAACTACCAGAAGTCTTACAATTAAACATGACGAACTTGAATATTGCTCACTTGGTTTTTCCACCAGACATGAGCAATGTTTCGCAGTCGTCGATGATCAAAGGTGGTTGGTCTTTTGACTTCGTTTGCACACAGCGGTCATGTTTCTGATCCACACATGGACACTGGTTGTACCACAATGTTGTAAGGCCTTCTTTTAACCGATTTGCTTGCGTGCCACCGTTTTTATAAGCGACTGAGGCTTTGAAAGGTTTCACGAGCCTTACCGATGCGTACAGTAGCCTCGTGGTTGCTGTGATCAATGGATATGACACAGCTGAACTCTACTCGATAAATTTTCGGCCAACCGGAGACGTAGCTAAAAGACAAAATACGATTGAGGCTATCGGACCGGTGAATGCCCTCTTCTTTTTACGCGTACTTTTGTTTATTCTACTGCTTTTAGTTATCCCCATTACGTCACACAGACCATTGCTACCGGCCCATGATTGACTACCTGAACGGAATTACTAGTACAGAGATCCCCCACTGGATTTAATCGGATACTCGGAGTAACCATCTGCCACCACCCTTTTGTGTCAATCATGGCGCGACACACACTGCTGCCTCCTGACTTTTGCTTGCGTCGTTTTATCTGCCGTATCTAGTTTCTTCGAATACTTTTGTTTCTTTTTACTGAAGTCTAGTGGCCGCTGCCTTAGACTTTCTTACTCGCCGCACACCCCTACTTCAACTTACATCTCCCATGCAACAGTTGTTCATCAGCTGGCTAACCTTGAAACTTTATAATGAATGAAGCGCATAATGTGGATTCTTTTTCCACTTAATCACTTTGGCGCTCTACGGCATTGTGGCTTTGCTGCTGCGGCAGATTGTATCCCTCCTTGCTGTTTTGTCTTCTGTGAGACACATCGAAATGAAGCCTATCCATGCGCGGTGTCCATGGTACCTAATGACTAACTTTCTACTACTTCAACTGCAGTCGGTGCGGGCACGCGTTTATGACTGGCACTCAGCGAGTCTTAACATCACTTTATACATCCAGTCGATACGAACTACTACTTGGTCCTATTTTGTTACTTTCTACGGAATGCGCATCGTCTTAACCACAGAAACAACATACTCAGGTGATGCTATTCTCCTTGGGGTTCTTTTGTCACAAATACGCTTTTCTGTGCTTACCATGTGCTGAAGACTCTGTCCCGGTAGATGTCCACACCTGTGGGGATATCTGCTGCCACACGCAAGTTTCCGCCGGTACAACTCACGGTTCACGCACTTCCCATGTCAGAAAACACAGACCACAACAAATCCTTTCATTGAGTCCGGATAGTACAGCGTCGTTCACAACCACAATAGGTCTTATTGTCTGGTTCAGCAGAACCGACCTAGAGGAAACTTCATGTTACCATAAACTATCAGATATCGATGAACGCTCTCGTTGGCTGGTTGTAAAACGAAAGGGTTGTTATTAGCTGACTCCAATGCGTGAGCGCCCCCATTGCCTGTCTCCCGGCCAATTGACATCAAGCTGGGTTGGTTGAACTTCTGCTAAGGATACCAATATGAAAACGAGTTCGAACAGCTTATGTCAACGGTTTACTTTAGCGAAAGTAGCTTCAGGTCAATTGAATCATGTTTATTTTTGCAATATAATGGTTCGTTTGGTTTGCCACGTTATCCTTTGTGTGCCATTTCGAAATGATAGCGGCTGGTTATTGTCTATTTGACTCACTCGCGCAGTACCAGGCGACCCCCCATTACTCCTGCTTGCACATGGGCGCTGGTGACAGCGAATCGTCGCTACAATGTTCCGTAGGGCTGCTGATGCCTCTGGGTGCACAGCATTGTGTGGTCACTGATACCCTTTCGACGGAGTGTTAACGTATAATCCTCACTGCCTTGTGTGCACAAATCAGCGCGTCATAGTAATGCAACGCTAGGCAGTGATGTGTTTGCTGTGTGAGTTGTACACCTTCTGTACTTGGACCTCTTGCGTTCATACATTTTGACACAAAGGGGGCTGTGCACTTGACGACGAAAGTGGAGCGTGCGCTGCGCGATCCAGTTAAAATCAGTTAGAACTAACTATACTACTCTAGCTTACCACTAGTCGGTAATATTTCTCTACTTTCAATTTCTTTATTCCTGCATTTGTCCTTCACAGTATGCACTCCAGCTGGAATATTTCCTGCAACTTTAATTTCGGTGTTCTTTAATCTTCACCAACAGAGTTGCCTTGTTAGTCATTTTTCTCACTAACCTCTTGTAATTGTGTCTCAACAGAATGCAGAACGATATGAAGATTCCAGCGGCTGAAAGACGCAAGTAAGTTAACTCCGTTTCATAAACGATGGTTCATGCTCATGTCCTTTGGTACTTCCAATCCACCTTCATCCGGCGCAAAGTGTCACGAATCGCTACGTGTCCTTATGCAGCACTGTGTTATCACGCTTTCATTAATTTCACCTACGGCGTGATCCGTGCCCTTGAGACTCCTTACTCCGAAGCATACAGCGATGAGACAATGCACAATTTCGCACCCTTATCTTTTTGGTTGCGTCATCGCCGTACGTTACTTCCGACCAACTTCGTTTAATTGCTTAACTCAACCCTAAACTCACATCGATCATCTGCTCACGTAACGCGGCGCGTTTGTATTGAACCGTTTATCCTACCATATGACAAGAGGATGGTCTTGCCGACTTTACTGATTAGGAACTGTTGTATGCTCGCTGTTGTAACTAGCTTATATGCCAGGCTACGCTGTTCCGATCTTTATTCTTCCGAATGATTAGATAAAAGCTTACCGGTGGATGGGGCCCGCTTCAGGCACCTTATCCAGAATTCACTGTTTCGTCACGCACTTATCAACCAGTTGTCCATCACTCTGCGTCTCAAGATTTGCATCTTGAAACTTCCCTATGAAACAATACATCATGGGATCGGTGATAAAATCACATTCAACTGGGGCAATCCAACAACTTGCCATAGACCTTTACACGACCTGAGATCCCTGGAGGCACGACACATATAGAATGTTCACCTATATAGTGGGAGCACGGTCCAGGACAAGTACATCGAACGGAGCAGAGCAATCGACTAAGTCGAATACGCTCCTGAACTGAAGGAACGCAAGTGTGAACGCTGCTCCCGCTTCTCTATACGGTCCCTTTTTGGTCGAATAATTTTCTAAATTGCCGTTTGATTGTTCGAAGCCCGGACTTTGGATTCATCTCTACGGGAATCTTCGCCTCGTCATCACCATCATTATACACGTAAGCTAGAGGTAGAAACCACCCCAGCCATTGTGCCGCAATACATATGAAAAAAGAGGAAAAATCTGTCTAGACCTGGGCAACCTGACAGTATCCTGCCCATGCAATACAATGAATGTCTCTTCAAACAAATTTCTGATGCTCTGGCCACCGCGGACGATAATTAACCGTGCACTATCTGCTGCATCGAGCAGGATGGATAGGGGTTTGGATGCTACTGCTCAAGCCTTCCCGTCTTCTTATTCCCCCTCTTACGCTTTTTCACTCTTATCGTCCCGTTCCAACTTCACTTTTATCCCCCCAGTTTTCAACCCCCCGATTCTCAGCCCTCCTCCAACATGCTTTGCTAGGCGTTTATCTTCTAATTTCAACTCACATCTGAACGCGGAGCGTCACTCCTCTCCTGTCGACAAGCCCATGTCCAACCAAGCGGTCTATTCCAGTTCATCGGCTTCCATTTGGAGCCCTCGATCCTCCTTCAAATTGGCATGCCTCAATGTACGCACATTGCTACAGATCGAACAACAGGCAGCACTTGCACAAACATTGGAGACCATCTCGATCGATATCTGCTGCTTATCGGAGACCCGCCTGCAAGACTCGAGCTCTGTGCTCACTCTGCGATCCCCTCCAGGTGACGCAAGCAGTATTTGCTCATTGCGCCTATCCGGTGATGATGCAGCTTCGAGCACCGGCCAAGCTGGTGTTGCATTGCCCTGAGTCCCCGGGCTGAGGCTGTTCTGGTTGATAGGAATCCAATCAATAGCCGGATGTGTGCGGTCTGATTGGCTGGCTCGTTCAAAGCTTCGAAGTCGCTCGGGACTAATAGGTGTCTGTCCATCATCGCTGCCTACGCGCCAACAAACTGTAGCGATGCTTCGGTAAAGAACGACTTCTACCACTAACTGACCCAGCTTCTTCGCCACAGAAGCAGCACGGACGCTGTTGTGCTGGCTGGGGATCTGAATGCACAAGTTGGAAAGTTGTCCACTGATGAAAGGCATCTGGGCGGTCAGCACGGTGTAGGCTCCCGTAATGATAACGGTGTGCGGTTACTTCATTTGTGTGAAGATGCTCGCTTATTTCTTGCGAGCACTAATTTTCGGCACAGCACCCGCCGGAGGGTGACTTGGCGCCCACCAGCCTTGGACGCAGATCGATCACATTGCTATCAATTACCGCTGCAGAGATTGCATCCAGAGCACATGCGTGGACACCGATCATTCAATTGTATGTGCTGACATGAGGATGCGTTTTGGCGGACGCCCACGACAACGCTGTGAGCGCATTGACACCAACCAACTGACAAAGCCAGCTGTTCTGAATGCGTATCGATGTACGCTGACATGCGAGTTGAGTAATCGCTCACTGGAGACAATTGATGGTCACTGGTCACCAGACCCTACTAACAGCAGGCAAATCCTCATGTAATATGTCTACTAGGCAACATGGATATTGGGTCTCTTCTCGGTCTCTGGAACTTATCGACGCTCGCCGGCATATCCCAGCTGGAAGCGGACACAATGAAACTCGCAAAGAGCTCCGGGCAAGACTCCGTGCTAGCCTGAAGAGAGACCGCGAATCTTGGTGCTCTCATCGTGCGTCAGAGATGGAAGTGGCCGCTGCCCTTGGTAACCATCGTAAGTTATTCCGTCTGATACGGGAAACGGGCAGCAGGAGACCTGGAGGATATCAAGCAACAGTTAATCACTTGAAACGACAAGCTGAAATAAACTAAATCCAATAATGCATACAGACACGGTGGCATAACTCTTCTCTAAATTACCATATGAAGTAAGTTGGTTAGCAACGAATCCGCGATAAGTAAGAAATGTCCATAAGTTACTTAAAAATGCTACAAACGCAACCAAGTTACCGAAGATAAGCGCAATTAGCGTAAGCAACGTGGCCAGTTACTAGAAGATTATTCACGTAGGCAGAACAAACCAAATAAAGTGGAATGAAATTTATCCAGCTTAAAAAGACCTACTCATGTACTCGTGCATGTGGACGACTATCTGATTTGGAAACTGGATGCGAAGAACTTCACTTAATTGAAAAAGACCTATTTTGAATGTAAGTTGGTTTAGTCAAACTGCGGTGAAGAGGCATCAAGAATGCAACATCAGCCTCAGGATGTATATATATTCAACACGGCCAGTAGTACAATTGGCACAGTGCCACAATGTATGGAAAATTCATTGAACATACCAAGATAGCGAAAAAAACCGGTGTTCATGGGAATAGTGAGTCACAACAAGTCCTCCGTTGTGCACGATTTCCTGCCGTTTCCGAGAGTGTTTCCAGCCACATGTGTTCTGGATCCTTCACACACCAGCCAAGTAGTCGAGAGCACCCGATTTGCGACTAATTTTGACCTTAGCTCCTTCATCCACCTCGCCCAAGTTATACGTTGGCCACCTCGCTTTCGCTTCCAGCCGACGTCTTCTCGCGCGAACTTGGCACCATGAGGTAAGCGATGAGTAGGCATGCGAAGAACATGCCCGAGCCACTGCTGTCTGCGCAGAAAAGTTATGCTGCTCATTGGCCGGCAAAGTCTGTCTAATCTGAAAATCCTTCGTCGAACATCTTCATTACTGGTGTGGTGTTACCATCGTACGCCAGCCATGCTCCGAAGGCAGCGATGATCAAAAACAGACAGCCACACAACATCCTTTGCGCGAACGGGCCAAATCTCGCAGCCATAGAGCAGAACCGCTCTCACTGTGGAATTGCAAAACTCGGCCCTTCAGAGACACACTCAGATCACCTCGACGCCAGAGATGGCGGAGATGGGCAAAAGCAACCCGCGCCTTGGAGACGCGCAAAGAAACCCCACCCGTTAAACCATTAGCGCTGAGGCGGCTTGGTAGGTAAACGAACTTGTCCACCACTTCCAATGAATGTCTTAGAATGGTAAGGTTAGGAGCAGCGCCTAGCCAGTCCTGCAGGAAAACTTTGCATTTCGATGGCGCGAAGGTCATTCCAAACTGGGAAACAGACACCTCAAACCTACTCAGGTCATTTTGAGCAGCCTGTTAAGAACCGCTGATTACGGCGATGTCGTCTGCATACTCCAAATCGCGAAGTTGGTCCCCCTTAAGCAGCTCGACGCCGCTGAGTCCGCAATGCTCCAGAGCACTGTCCGGGATTTCGTCTATAGTGAAATTGAACAAGAAGGGGGATGCTGGGCAACCCTGCCTCATGCCACTGGTGATACTAACGGGGGACGAAAGTCCGCCGTACATTTGCACTTGGCCCGAGGTTTGCGAGTAGATGGCTTGAAGTAAGGTGACATACTTCTCGGACACTCCCCTTCTCAGTAGACAACTCCAGAGAGCAGCTCTATCGACTGAGTCAAACGCGGCTCGTATGTCTAAGAAGACAACGATTCTTGGCTGGCCAAATGTCTGACGATGCTTGAGTATTTGGCCGAGTGTAAAGATTTGATCGATGCAACTCCGACCTGAGTGGAACCCAGCTTGCTCTTCACGTATGCTCTGTTCGCGTACCAGATTGCGCCTTAAAAACAGAGCTGTGAGCACCTTGGGAACAACACAGATGGGACTAATCCCTCTGCGATTAGCGCAGTCAGCTTGGGTACCCATTTTGAAGACGGGCACGATATCCGCTAGGCTCCAGTCGGATGGGATAACTTCAGTGACCCAGATCTCTTGGAGAAGAGAAGTTAACTACTGAACAAGTGATGGGCCGCCATCTTTGAAAAGGGCCAAGGGCTTTGTAGCGCTTTAAGAGGCGAAACTCGTGGGCAACCTCAACCTCGGATGGTGGTGAAATGTCTACACACCATAGAGCGCTCTGGACTCCAGAATGGGAACTCATTGGTGCTGCTGGCCAATTAAACTGCTGCTCAAAATGCTCGGCCCAACGCTCGAGTCGGCGTTTTTGACAGTGGATTGGCTCGCCATTGGTTTCGCATAAAACTTCGCTTACTTTCGGCCTTTTGCCGCCAGGAGATCGGGTCAGAAGGAAAAGCTTACGGAAGTTCCCCGAGGTGGCCGTTTGTTCCATCTCAGTGACATGCTGCGT